GAGAGAGAGAGAGAGAGAGAGAGAGAGAGAGAGAGAGAGAGAGAGAGAGAGAGAGAGAGCTGTGCGTGTGTGAGTGATTAAGAGAGAGAGAGAGCGAGAGAGGACGGATGACGGCTAGACGGCAGCAGTGCATATATTGTATATTTACGGCAATCAGCAGAGCGTCCCGTTGCGCATGCAATCATGCGTGTACGCGAGTCACGCGATCACTGTGTGAGTGGATGTCCGGATGCGTAGCCTGGAGGCTAGGCGACCGGTTCCGGACGCGTAGCCTGGAGGCTAGGCGACCGGTTCCGGGTGCGTAGCCTGGAGGCTAGGCGACCGGTTCAGGACGCGTAGCAACTGCCTAATTAATTACACGAATTCATCAAGAAATGAAATTACTCCTAACGTTATCTTCAAGTTCAAGAGCATATTAAGTATGAGAGCGTGCGACAGTGAAATGCAACAACCATGTTGTAGTTTCAGTAGAATTAGTATACTTTACCCATTTTATTTTGACAATTCTTGCGGCATTATAATTCAGCAGTCCTGCCTTGATAATATAAAACCAACCGCTTGTCCATACGATGTCCCTACGCTGAGATATTAAGCAGTAAAATCTAGTATTTTGGCGAAAATCGAACTCGAGTTGGCAGCTAGCTGCGACTGCACGCTCTCATACTTAATACGCTCGTGTTGTCGTGTAATCTGACAAACTTGTCAACGTGGAAAATAAACTGATAATAAGAAATAAGAAATAAGCAAAGTGGGAAGATAAACCGATGACAGGAATCGCCATGACGATGTACACACACCAGCATGACGATCGTTGCAATGAGGCGCGTCATAGCGAACATCTTCTTAAGCTGGCTCAGCGGACCCATCAGGAAGAACGTTCTGAAACACAAACGCGTGATAGAGGGCAGCACGCGACACGAGGAATTTAACAGCAGGCGCTTGTTGTCAGGAAAAAAATTTGTCTTAAGTAATATTAGTCTTAACATTAGTCTTAACATTAGTCTTAACATTAGTCTTCACATTAGTCACACATTGGTCTTAACATAAGTCTTAACATTAACTTTTTTGCATAGACAGAACCTCTAGCTATACACACTGCGTATAAGTAACTCGTAACTTTACCTGTGTTTCACGCAACCATCTATCAGGCTAATGCTGAGGACCATTCTCTGTCTGACAATGGGGCCGAGGGTTGGCTATCCGGCGATTTAATTTCATTAACGTTCACATTTAACGTAGTTTCATTGATGCAAGGTCGATGTAAGGTCGTTGATTTACATCGTGTTGAGGTAAATTTGCAGCAGTCTTCCTTAAATTGACTATGTCACGAATTTCCTATGGTGTATATTTGTGAAATTTTTGTTGCCATATTTTTACATTAAAAGTAAGTACTAACGGGACTATATGTATCGTCAAATTCTTACCTGATAAGATTGTTTCTCAACTAGTTAAAAATCCAAAAAACCTGGACGATTTGATATTATGATCCTGACATTAAATGCTTGCTATGGGCTATGCGCGAGTCACGAGTGTATGTTTACATCGAACAATATAGTAAAATAGGAAGTACTTATAATGCAGCAATTTAACCATAAAAAGTGACAAGAATTACTTACATTTTGTAAAAAAAAAAGTGGCAATTTTTTTTTTTTTTTATTTACGGTGACGTAATCACTTTAACCAGACAACTCACCCGGACAGTGCGATTATGTTTCCTATCGTATAGCAGACGGCAAACACCACCATCCCACCGGTGAACAGCAGGAACGTGCCCTGAAACACGAACAACGAAGATCAGAATCACGCGTGAACAACGACGGCTCGTCCCCCCGATCACGCGCGAGGTACGAGATACGCCAGGGTTTCTACCATACTCCCAATGACAAAAAAACATACACGCGTGATGTACTCACTCACTGATCGCGTGATACACTCACTGATGTACTCACTGATGTACTCATATTCGTGCTCACAATGGGAAAAAATACCTGAGTCCAGGAGCAGTCATCCCGAATGGAATTGCAAGTTCGATGTATGAATGTCAGAAACGCTACAACGTTACTGCAATGTAATGTTACTAAAACAAACTCAAACATCAGCTTACTAAAACTAAACATACTAAAACATATACCAACATACTAACAGAAGCATACTAAAACTAAACATACTAAAACATACCAACATACTAACAGAAGCATACTAAAACTAAACATACTAAAACATTCCAACATACTAACAGATCTAAGCATACTAAAACTAAACATACTAAAACATACCAACATACTTAAACATCAGCATACTAAAACTAAACATACTAAAACATACCAACATACTAACAGAAGCATACTAAAACTAAACATACTAAAATATACCAACAAACTAAAACATCAGCTTACTAAAACTAGCTAAACATACTAACATACTAAAACATCAGCTTACTAAAACTAAACATACTAAAACATACTAACATACAAAGAGAAGCATGCTAAAACATAAATGGCAAGAGATAGCGCAAACTTATAATGTGAAAACCGTGTGAATTCGCACCAGTAAGGAGAGAATGCATCCAATCGCAAAACAAGCGACGAATCCTTTAATCCGCGTCGACCAGCTTAACGACGACGCATCCAGAATCTGCAACAAAACAAGAGGCACCCGTCGTTACAACTACCCTGTAGCGACGACTATGTGGCACAAATAGTTTTAGAACATTAGCTGCAAAGGTGTGGAACAGTCTGCCAGAAAATACCAGACAGACTGTATGAAATTTTAACGAGTGTAAAATGTTTATCAAAACATGGAATGGTTTTGCATGCAAATGTGCAATGTGCAAATGATATTTAATTTGCAGTATGTTTTTAGTAAATTTTGTAACATCTGTAACTGTTTGCTATAAATTTTAAATATCCATGTATTATACTTATAATTTATTCATGTACTCGAATGCCTGTATAGTATGCATGTTTTAAAATTGTTATGTAAGTACTGTTTTAATTATTGGTCTACTTATGTTAGTTGATCAGTCTTAAAACCTCACCAGAGCAGAGTTTATGTTTCTCATGTTGTATACATACAGACTTTAAATAAAGATTACTTAAACTTGAACTTGAAATAGACAGATCAACACACTGCAGATCGCAGTAGAAAAAGCACCATATTACAATTTACTAAAAAAGGAAAATCATTCCAATATGGAATTACAGAAACGAAGAAGCTAAACTTAAGGAATCTTTTAAAGATCGTAGATTGTGACTACGTATGTGTGTCATGGTGTGTCATTGTCATTGACGACACATTGTATCAAGAGCCCATTAACCCCAGAGCGTACAACGCTGAAATAGGAAAACGATGGTGTCGTTTCAGCAAAATTAATAAAGTTCACCTACCTTATTTTGATACTTCTCTACCGTAATATTATGCAGGAGTCATAGCTAGCCAATATAAGATCAACCACTTGTCTCTACGATGTTCCTATGCCGAGATATAAAGCGATAAAAATCGAGTACTTTTAGGTAATCCTAGTGCCATATCCCCCAGTAACACTCCTCTCCCGCGTTTAGTGACTGCTAATGTAGATTCGACAAAGCTCGTATGTTTCCGTCGGTCACTGTGATCCTGCTTCTCTTGTCTTAAACGCGTTGTAATATAATTTACTTGCTCCTGCGATAGTGTTGCTGATTTAACATTCCTTTTCCTTCTACTATCTCTTCTCACATTTCCAGTCGCAGCCATGACTCAAACTACAACGTTTACTACAGCTAGCGTAAGGGGCGGATCATCACCATGGCGACCCGACTCTTACGCTAGCTGTAGTAAACTCTGTAGTAATGACATAACGAGTCAGCGCTCCAAGCGGCGACCGGAAGCAACATTAGCAGTCACTAAACGCGGGAGAGGCGTGTTACTGGGTGATATGGCGCTAGGATTACCTAGAAGTACTTGATTTTTATCGCTTTATATCTCGGCATAGGAACATCGTAGAGACAAGCGGTTGATCTTATATTGGCTAGCTATGATGCCTGCATAATATTCCGGTAGCGAAGTATCAAAATAAGGTAGGTAAACTTTATTGATTTTGCTGAAACGACACCATGGTTTTCCTATTTCAGCGTTGTACACTCTGGGGTTAATATTGATTGTATGTAATAACATTCAGCGTGGAACCGAAGATTCAGCGATTCGTCCAAACATCAAACACCTGTTCGTATGCGCTATTCGTCCGAGCAGTTGTTGCTCATGCACTGTTCATGTTGCATGCCGCAGGCGCACGGCACGAGTGCCGGAGGTAGGAAGTGTGAAGGGGGGGGGTCTGCGGGTTCTGGTCTCCCCCCAGAAAATTTTGAAATATTGTCGCTCTAAAATGCTATTTCCAGCATTCTGAGGCTATTTTAAAAGTTTGGAGGCCCCTTTAGGCTGGGGGCCCGTAGCGTTTTGCTACGGCAGCCCTACGGCTGTGACGCCCCTGCATACATGCGTTGCGTATGTGGTTATACACCATAGATAGTGTTTGGTACTATGACTCGCGTATATAAGTGAGCCGAGTCGGTTTATAGTTAGTGTTAGGGGGTTGGTGTTGGAGTTGGGGTTAGAGAGTAGGCGTGGTTAGGGAGCAGGCGACTCTCTAGACTAGCATTATATATTACATTTATGTAATACAACATAACAGCGCATACGCGCAGACGATTATCCACGTCCAATGGGCAATAACATTGTCATTAGTAATTTGAATGAGATCCTTCATCATCTATCTGGAATGTGCTTGGCATCTTGGTTAAGAAATTTAATGTTAGATAGACTGTTTTAGCATGGACAATCCTGAGATTGGTCAGGCATAATGGCAAATCTGCAGTATCATGGGCGGCCGGATTGGTTCAAGGATAGAGAACATGGGTCCCAATAAAACCAATGTCATTTACATCAATATAAATATATTATATCAATATAATAGGTTAGGGTTATGGTTATGGTTAGGTTCATTGTTAGGGTTAGGGTTATAGAGTAGGCGTGGTTAGGGAG